AGAATAGATAAGATCAAAGCGGTTCGACTTGCTGGGCATGGGGGGGGGGGAGTTGGGTCATCTTGGAGGTCAAGCGTATAAGTGCTGCTTTCCTATTGCACAGCTCGATGTTGGTCTAAACTATTATTCATCGCCGTGAGCTGGAGAAAGGAAGGTGTGAGACAAACAATTATGAGAAAAAATAAAGCGTGGTCAGAAGTCATGGCTCACTTTACCCATTCAAACTTAACTCCCTAAGATTTGCTTTCTTCCCTATGAAGGTCAGGGCATTTTACAAAAATATCCTGTGATTGGATTGATTAGAAATGTTTCTAAGGCCGATGTCAGACTTTGCGAATCGCGCGATTCGCTAGCGTCCGCGGTCGCGTTGCGGTACCAGCCAATTGAGTGATTCACTGGCCGCGACGCGACCGCAGACGCTAGCGAATCGCGCGATTCGCAAAGTCTGACATCGGCCTAAAGCTCATCAGCTTAGGTATGTACATTCTGAGTTGCTTGCTTGACTACCTAAGTATGTATCTATTTTCAGCGCTGTGGTATTCATCGAAAAACAATTTCAAATACCATCAAGACTCAGTGGAACGATGGTGTCAGCCGGAGACTTCGCCTACATTCCTATCGTTGTGTTTACAAGTTATTTTGGTGGAAAGGTAACCGATTTTCCCAATAACATCATCACTTCAATTGTTGGCATGGCGCCAGCATGGTCGGATAACCTGGCAACTAGGCACGGCCTTCGCCCACCCTTGCCTTATGGGCAGCTAATGAAGAGGCGGTTCTTACTTCGAGGCTTTCATAGGTTCCTTCTGTCCTTTTCTTCTCTGAACAGCTTGTTGGCATCTAGAACACCGTATTTGAACCACTCACTTCCCTTCTTTAGACACAGCTGTGCCTTTCTAACCACGGTCGATAGTGCGCTGGGCTCTTTAGATCGTCTAGAACGCAGTTGATTCAAACAGGGTCAAGCGTTACGTGCGAATTTTTCAGAAATTTTTCGACCTCTCCCCCCTAGCTCCTGGCCGGGATCACTCGACCCACCCACTCCGCCCACTTTTTCCTCCGAACACAACCCATATAACCCCGACGACCTTCGTCAACCTCCGTTCTCACCATGATAACCTTGCTCAACTCCAAAATGCGACCCCTCCCACTTTCCGAAATCAGAATTGCAACCCGTCTATCGAATTGTGCGATGTAACGGTTGACGTTGTGTTGTTGTTGGAGTGGAGTGTGGCTGGAATCGCCCCACCCCACTCCAACAAAGGCATTCAATGACGTCATCAAAACCGCAACGCCTTTTAGCCAAGAAGCCTGGACCCGTTGACAGTGTTTCACACCTGGTTGTTTATGAACGTTGTAAGCCACTTCACCTCCAGAATAAATTCTTATTCATGACTAGGAGGGTGATAGGTTAACTATGAGGTCCAATCGTTAAAAGCAAAAACTCATGCACATTTAAAACAAATATTTTCATCCTGCTCCCATTTCTATCCATACCATGAAATACCCTTTTTAGAGCTGACGCCTGCTCTTACAAACTTTCCTCCCACGCGACCTTGTGTGGGGAGCTGGTCAGGTTCAGATATTGAAGAGTTTTGGCCCGTTTTTGCTTCTCGCTGTTTTACAGCGGGAGAACGCCGCTGTTGAAAATGTCTGAAATTTCGGCCGGATGCATCAACAAGAAGTCATTTTGATAAAGTACCGACAAAATGACAAACACTGGGGCTATCAGTGCTTTTTTTCTTCTCACTAATATGAAGTTTTCCGAACCCCCTGAAAAGAAACGCACTGATAACAACATCAGCATCACTTGGAGGTATTCTTGTCGTTGGGACAGGAAGTTCAGATAAGTTGTGAAGGGAGCTTCTCCTCATAGAGGATATATTTGTATTGGACGAATGTTGAATGATTTCGTAGCCGTATTGAACGCTTATTTTTCATTGTTCCTCAATAAGAAGGGTTTGAAGTATGAAGAACACGGTAAGCGGTGTTTGCATATCGGATAGTGAGGCGATTAGAACAAGGTGTTTTTCAGCAATGGTGAAACGGAGACAAAATACACTACAAAAACACCAGCCATTCTCTTGTAATTTATTCATGGGATCGGAAGCCTTGTCACTTCACCTGCAGCTCTTTATGAGTTGGTGACCTAATGCCTTGCAGAACTGAAACTCCAAAACTGTTAACCTGTTTCAAAAAACGGTGATTATAACGTTATTCTTCTGCCAACGAGGTTTTCAAGTGGGCGCTCTTGAAGTGAAGACGTTTCGAAGAGATTGTCGTCCTTGAAGGCCCAGTCCACCACCTTAAGAGCAGAACAGCGCCAGCGTTACTAACCATATCTGACTTGGAGTGGCGCTGTTCTGCTCCTGCGGTGGTGAACTGGGCCTCTCGAGGAAGACGATC